TTGCATATTTGAAAGACAAGAACCATCATTAATCTGCACATTGGACAAACCAGCCAAAAATTTACAATCTCAAACCTATGCAATAAAAAGAAGAAGAGGCAACTCCTCAGTTGCAAGTTATGACATTACATCAATAAACGTCACACTGCTCTGAGCCCTAACCGTGCGAACCCATCCTCTAACCACCAAAGTTTCACCAAGACGGTCCAAACCTTCTTCAGGTCCTCCCTTTATGTCCGCAACCCTCAACCTTTTCCGAAATTCCCCAACTTTTTCAGTTTTTACCCCCTCTTTTGCCTCAATATTTTCAAATTTGGGTCTTTCAACTGCTTCTCCGGATGAAATAGCGGCGGAAACCACAGAGCAAAAGCTCCGTCGACGGCTCAAGTAGGGTGCTGGAGGCAGCTGTGGAGGGTACGATGAGTAGAAATTGGGGTTTAAGACTTTGATAGGTCTTCGGTAATGACTGAAGAACCGGACGGCGTAGAAGGGCTTAAGGCGGAGAGTGGTGGCCGGAGACAGAGCACCAGCCATTTTTTCCAGCAAAAGTCTTTTGAGTATTGCTATCAGTATCACCTCGCCAATGGTTTTCTACTGCTCCATATCCGGATATCCGCTCATAATTCAAACCCGATTTATCGCATGTATGATATTTTTAAAAAATAAATAAATTATTTAGTAAATGAGAGAAAAGAAAAAACTCATCCTCATGTTAAATTTAAGGGAAAAAAGCTCAAAAATGTCCAACTCATGGGAAAGGTTTTAAAATGCCTTTTTCTTTATTTATTGGTTTAAAAATACTTTCAAAAGAAATACCTATTACTTAACAAAATCTAATAGAAAATTTACTACATAAGTGACAAAATTTCATTGATCTAACTAATTTTTATTCAAATAAAATAAATTTTATTTAAATCAATCCTGTTTTACTATCAATTTGGATATTTTTCTTGTTTTTTTTCTTCTCTTTATTTCTCTAAGGAATAACTCTCAATTCAAAACTTGTCGAACTTTTATAAACTCAATGTGCTTGTAAAATCTTGTTATTTAAAATCTAATAGAAAATTTAACTACATAAGTGACAAAATTTCATTGATCTAACTAATTTTTATTCAAATAAAATAAATCTTATTCAAATCAATCCTGTTTTACTATCAATTTGGATACTTTTTTTGTTTTTTCTCTCTCTTTATTTCTTTAAGAAATAACTCTTAGTTCAAAACTTGTCGAACTTTTATAAACTCAATGTGCTTGTAAAATTTTGTTATTTAAAAAATTAGACATATGAATTAGCAATTAAGATATTTTCATATGATGTTTTATAAATCCGTATGTATGAAGTTTGAACTAATCCTAAATTTAGAAAAAAATTTATAGCTTTAATCCTTTTCAAAAGCGATTTAGTCAGAGATGATGAGCAAACAAAAGTTTAGATCTTAATGTGACAGAAACAAGCAAATAACATGAGGTATAAAATTAAAGATACGAAAATTGGATTAGATTTATCAAAAATGGATTTAAGTGTAAGATTTATTTATTTTATAAAAAAAAGTTATATGTATCGCTCATTTAATTAAATTTCATGTCAAATTTCTGTTAATTGAAGAGTTTTTTGAGCTTAAAGAAAACGTTAAAAGATATTTTTAAATTAATAAATGGAAGGAGACATTTCTGAATTTTTTTTATCTTTTTTCTAATTTTAATCAATTATTTAATAGCAGTTCTATAACACAGATTAAGAGAAAAAAAAATATAAAATCACCATTCAAATTATCAAAAAATAATAATCTTTAATTTCGTGAGTGTCTTGTTAACTCTGAGGAGGAAGGGAAAACTGAAGACAATGGAAAGGGACGAAGGAGCAGTGGAAGATGGCAAGAGGAGATGTAAAGTCCTCAAAAATCGAATTGAAACCTTAACAACTACTCAACAATCCTCATGGAAGACTACCCTTTTCAGGCTAATCAACTCTGAGCTTTCTTTCCTCAACCGCGTTTCCCTCTCCTCATCTCTCAAACTCAGCACCAACATTGGGTATCTTGAAGCAGTTGTTCACATTCTTCAAAACCCACTAGTAACAGCAGTTTCACGGGTCTGCAAAACCATTTCGGTATCGTTGAAATTGAGTGTTTATATTGACGTAATTTGCTCTTTTAATGGAAACCCAGTTTGGTTTATAGTATCAGATAGAAACCCCAGGTACATTTCTTGGGAAGATTCAGGGGAAATTAGGAATTGCAAGGGTTTAAGAAGCAAAATCGTAGAACTCGTGTTTGCTGCCTCAGAGTCGTCTGTTACGGTGAGGCCTAGTTCTATTATCCTTTTCTTCTCAAATGGACTTCAAAGTTGTATTCTTGATAAGCTTCGAGGGGAATTTGGAGCTACTGATCTCGGGTTTGGGTTTTCTGACTTTGATTGCGAGTTTTATGATGAATTAGAGGATGAGGATTGGGTAAGTGTACTGGGGAGGTCTTTTGAAAGGGCATGTATTTTGGAAATAAAGATTGGTTCTTTTTCGTCTAGTAGTGCAATTTCAGACTCTAGTACAGATGTTAAATTGCAGGGTAAAGATGGAGAAACATTAACAGACCTTTCTGGGAGTTCAGGGAAGATGCATAGTGATGATGCTAGTAATGATGTAAATTTGGGTGATTCTTTCTGTACTCTTGTCTCAGCATTGAGGAGTTGGTCCGGTTTTGATGTTGAAGAAGCTGAATTGGTCAATTTTGATACAACAGCACTAGTTGCTATAGTGTCTGGGATTAGTAATGGTAGTATCGATCGAATTCTGGCTACTCCAGAGAGTGAGCTGAGAAGCCGATTCAAGGTCAATTATGAGTTCATGATTGGACAGGTGAAACCTCTTATCTTAAAATTTCTGGAATCCTTCTATGTTAAAATTTTAGAACCCTGTTTGAATTTGGAGAGTTTCTTTAATGTTTCTCTGTTCATTTTGATTGCTTTATAGAGCTAACATACCTCAGACTCGTACGAGAGATCTACTGGGTTTAAATCCAGAGATGACTTACATGAGGCTGGTTGATTTAAATTTGTACATCAGTTGCCTCTACAGCAACTAATAACAAATTGAAGTCTCATGCCACATCATCTTATTGTTTGTAAAAAAGAAAAGGCAGCTTAGTGTACTAAGATCCAGTTATGTATGGGGTCTGGAGAAGGGCTGGACAAATGGTTTATTGTATGCAGCCTTACCCTGCATTTCTGCAAGGGACTGTTTCACAGCTTGAACCCGTGACTCGTGGTCACATGGTAGCTGGTTTACCAGTTACACACCAAGGTTCTTTTCCATCATCTTATGTTTGTTGTTTCAGAAAACTTCACTATTGGAGTGGCAGAGTACCGAGTGTGTGAACTGGTTATGGTTATGCTATGTTTCTGCTTCAATTGATGGTTCATGCATTAATTTTGCCTAAAATACATAAGCATAATAAATTGCTAGTTTTGGTGTTCCTTGTTCTGCGAAGTCTATAGTCTGACTCGAAGCACTAAAATTTGTAGTGAGTTGGAAATGATCAACTTTCTCATGTATGTGGTCCTTTTGTTTACAGTCCTAAAGAAATCTTTTTATATATGAACTGCAAAGACTCATATACTATTAGCTTAACCACTGTACTTTTGCATTTGCCAAACATTGTAGTAACATTCTTTGGTTTATTGTTGACTTGGCTTCCACAAGGTGAATTCTGAAATGAAGAAGCCAATCCATATGGAGCTGATGCCTTCTATATTGCAAAAGCGAGGCATAGTTTGTGAAAGTGTTTGTGCAGAATTTCAGGAGCTTGTTTCGATGTGTGGTGGGCCTAATGAGAAGTCTAGAGCAGAGCACTTTCTGAACCATCTAAGGTGAATTTTGATAAATTTCAATATGTTTCTTACAGCAAGTTTTATTTCCAAAAATTTTATTGCAACAATCGTTACATTCAACAGTACATGCTCTGCCGTCCTTTCCCATTCTTACCTCCAGAAAAGAAATTGGAAGAAAAATATGAATTGCTTGCCATCCTCTTATCTGACTTCTAAATTTCCTACTAGATAAATTTGAAGGAGTTCTGTTCGACTTGCTATATGACTTCCAAATTTTAGGTCCCAGTGAACTTTTGTAAGCAACTCTGCTGCTTCTTAAACATTATTCTTATCTAGCATCTGTTATAGATTTGCTGGCATGGTCCTTTGGTCTCTCTGTTACAACGGCTTAGTTCTTACAAATCTGATGCCAATTGCCAAATAGTAAAATAACCTGAATCTCGTGATGGTAGATTGTAGTAAGCTAGCAACACTTGCCTCGGACCTGTTAAGAGTTGCATTGGGAATTTCTCCATCTCCATGTTCCTTTTGTTCTTAGTTTTAGTTTTATAGTTTTCCTAGTTACTTAAACTCCATATACTGATCATCTGATTAACTCAAACAGGGTTGTGCCTGATTGCCCGTCAGAACGGCTAATGAGCCTTCCAACAACCAGAAAATTGGCATTAAAAAACAAGGTAGCTTTTGGGACTGGTGATTATTGGCATGCTCCTACTATAACTGCAAACATGGCATTTGCCAGAGCTGTTTCACAGACAGGAATGTCCCTGGTTACCATAGAGCATAGACCACGAGCATTGGTTGGTGATTAATCCCCTTGGCAAATGGCATTTGAAAACAGATGTTGATCCTAATCCTGAGGCTACATTGACTTAATGGAACTGAAACTTTTCTGCGAAAAGAGATGTTGAGATACCCAAGTGTGACGCGTCATTTGAACTAGGAAGTTGTGAAACTTGCTTGGCTATTACACATGTATATATCAGACTAGCACAATGTTTTAATGGGCATTTTGTATGTTAGCTTGTATGATGCTTCTTGGTAATAAAATAAGGGGCCTCAGTTATCTTAATCTTCTGCCATATGCAGATAGTTCTTTCTTGATATAAGTATCAAGTTGGAGCAAGTAGCAACACATACAAATCTACTTTGGAAGAACAAAAGCCATAGGCTATCTTTTTTCTGCAATAAATAACTTTATATTAAAGCTGCATAACAAAGTAGTAACCAACTGCCAATGGTTGGCTTATCAACATGAATAATGAAGATGAATTTAATAGAAATCTCCTAATGTTTATGGATAACATCCTCACTAACAAGAGTTGAGACCCCAAAAATAAAATAAAATACACGACAACTGAACTAGAAGCCTAAATTACTTACTAACATACATGTTGAATACAATGCAGAAGCTTTTAGAGCTTCAATCCAAACTTGCAAGTACTGGCCTTAATTCGGACCAAACTATTAGCAGAGAGGCTATCGACAATCAGTAAGCAATCTCCCAATATTTTCACCTTTCTCAACTTGAGCCTCCCAAGTTTAACGCTAACTGGGACTTGAATCTTAAGATCTAATGGGATTCTTCCAGTTTGTGCTGCCTCTTGAATTGCAGACATCAACGTATTACCATATTCTGATTGCCCAGTTAAGGCCACGTCGAGTACTGTTCTGTTCTGATGACCTTGGTAGAACTTGGGAAGAGACCCTTTACAAAGCTGTGTGTTCTTGTACCACACACTCAAATGACTTCCTTTCTCATAGTAGATTCCAATCTTCTTGTTTGGGTTCACAGCAGTGATTCTGACATTAAATCTTGCATAGAGGCTCATATCAAAATTTAGCCTCAAGTCTGATATTCTGAGGTTGTCCACAGAGTACTGAGGGATTTTTGGTTTGAAAACAAGGTAAAGAATGCCAGCAATTGCTGCAATAATGATGAGTAGGAGTATGATGAGGCTAATTGTCCAGCAAATGCATTTGCAAATGCAACTTCTCTTCTTAGTGGGTGGTCTTGAATACATTACAGGAGTGGTACGTCTGACTGGCTGGTTCACTGTTGGCTGCTGAAAAAGCCGCGTTGGATCGCCTTTTTCTGATTTAAACGAGCCTCGAGGCACTAAAGGACGTGTTGTTCTTGTTGGTGGTGGTGCTTCCATGTCCACAACTGGATGAATTCTTTGATTTTCTGTCATTTGTTGTCAATTGTTACTTTACACAGAACGCTATTGTTTTTTATCAACAACTTACAAATGAAACTCTCTCACGTAATGTGCAGTATACGATTATTTATAAGTTAAAATACTTATATGTTGCTTCATATTTGAAGTTTAGTTAATTAAATATCCCAAGAGAAGATGGAGGTAGGAAACTTTTTGGCTTATTTCACCTAATAACAAAGAAATGTTGAGAGGAGAAACAAAGTAGGTCAGCTATATGAAGAGCTTTGACTATTTTCTGTTCTCACTGCTTAATGACTCATAGCTAATCTAAGTAGAGAATCAACCATAAACAATTAGTATAACTTTACTCCTTTAGTTGACCTACAAATAATTAACCTAGATAGCCACGTCTATATGAAGGTGGTAATATTCTTAATATTTACATTTATCAATTTACAGAAAGAAAAAAAAAAGGTTCAAAAGGGTACTGATTAGCTTTGAGATCCTTAGCTTGAAAGTAGTTAATTACAACAACATACCCAGTCGAACCCCACCACGTAGGGTGTCTAAGGAGGATAGAAAAAGCACAGTTAAAACTATGCAGGAAACTAGGAACACAGAAGTTAATAACTTGACCATCTCTAATCACTAAAAATCTTGTCACACTTACAAATTATGTACAACGATAGTAATTTTCCAGCTTCATAACCTACAGAAAATAGGTCATAACAAAGGGAAGGGGGAAGGAAATAGAGAAAAGGGCTGGAACTAAAAGGAGGCTGGCAAAGTGTTCTATGAACTCTCAACAAAAGTAAGATTATGGGTTAAGTTTGATGATAAGTCTCAAAAATTATTACATTAGAGAAAATGTATCGTCTACCCCTCCGCTAAACAAATTACTTTGAGTCAATTCATCCATCTTCACTCTCCAGACTCTGCACAAAAAAGTAACACACTATCAGTACTTCCCGATGAACTTCCTAATGACCAAAGTCATCTCTCACATAGGCTCATACCATGTATCGCTTCCATATTGTCTTCCTTGTAAACACCGAGAGGAGAGCCGTGGACAGATAGAAGCATTTCCCCAGGTTTAGGCAGTCTTAAAGTTTTGGGAGTCATCCCAACAGATAATCTGTTATTATATGCCTGTAGCCAAAAATATATTAATCTATGAATATTGTCTTTAGCACAAAATACTCGTAGAGACATCAACAAGAAACTGGTGCTGATGCTACTTCGGGACAAAATTAGTTTCATCTAAAAGTCGCTTCTTTGAACCATCACAGGCATAAAGTAATGCCGCTATTAACATAGCATTGTTCCTAAAGCGTCGATCAACTAAACAATGCTGTATGTCGTAAGAGAGTACCAAGAGGAGCAGTCATCCAGATAGAGAAATAAATAAGGAAAAACAATGCTTCATACTGCAGGGTCTATGTGTCAAATGAAATATTTCCCAACCCATCACCCCGATGTTTAGATGTTTTAAAGGAATAAAATGAATAACATCAATTGTTCAGTAGAGAAAAAGATATTGCAAATAACAACAAACCGCAAAGAAATTATATTATAGCTACGTACACCAGGAGTCTGAAGAGTATCAGGCAAATCAAGCATTTGGGAGTCAGATGGCTCTTCCAAGACCTTCAGTGAAAAAAAGAAGCAAAATAAGGAACAAAAAAGAGTAAGCAAGTATTGCTATCATCGCAAGCGCTAAGGGGGTACATCCATTGCCCAATCAAAAGAAGCATGAAGAAATGTCAAAAAAACCAGACACCTCTAGAGCTACGTGATGAGCCAGTGCAAAGGCAGAAATGAGTCCACCCCACATCCCCACAAAAAAAAAAAGGAAAAAAGAGTCTGAAGCACAAAAAGATTAGTTGTAAAAGAGGCTTTTCAGAAGTACCAACTAAATGCTTCTTACTTCCAAATCTTAAATGCAAGAATTTAACCATACAGCCAAAAGGGGATCATCATGCAACCTAAATTACTCGAAATGTAGTATTGAATGACATAAACTGCAGGAAATAGTAAAATGAAGTGCAATGAAACATACAAATCCCTTGATCTGGAGGTTTTCGACACCATAGCATGATGTTTTAACTGCCAAAATGTTGTTAAACTGAGTTAGCAGAAATAAACTTGAGTGTCTAGCGTTTCCATAAAAGGATGAGTAAAAAGAGATTCAAAGATACCAGATTTATTTGAGAGTTCAAATCCACCAAGTGACGGCATGGCACTGGAGCAATCAGGGTACACCATGGACAGGTTATTAAGAAGAGAAGCATGTAGATTCCTTCCATCAAATTGGTCCATGCTTAAATTAACAGCATTGTCTTTCCTTTGCACTTCATACTGGCCATTTTTCTCATTTCTTACAATAGCCAGGTTTGGAAATTTTTCCTCAAAAAATTGCGTTACTGGAACTTGCAGCTGTTCATTACTAAAATTTGATCGCAGCAATTGTAACATATCTTTTAAGTGTTCAATCTCCACATCACGAATAGCCCTTATAGCAGTACTTTGACGTTCAGCTGAAAAGAGAGTACAATAAGGTAAAGGACATATTCAGTGACATTCAACCATGATGGTAATGTGAGAATCAAAATTCATCAGGAACAAACAGATAACTGCAAAAAATTAGAATAGATGTGGAAACCATGTTTCAGAACTTCATATTTACATGCTTTCGAATATCTTTTGACTGTCCAAGTGATTAGTTGGAGAAACTAAGTTTTGAAAGTGTAAATTTAAGTGCTGAAAAGTTAAAATATTTGGAAGGGTGATGATTTTAGTATCATCCATTTTCTTACTTTAAAAATTCCTACTCAAACACATACTAGAAATATTTCCTTCTATACTTAACTTTCCTTGTGAAATGCATGTTCATAACCTTCTCTTAAATTTCAAAAAGTATCACATCAATGGAAGGTAATAGACCTAGCAAATTGAGAATTTTACCTTTTTGTTCAGCTTGCAGGAATATATCAGAACAGATAGGTCACACGGAACTTATATCATACATCAACACATAAAAAATAAACGAGAATGGATAAGAGAATATAGCTTCATGGATATGAAGTGCAATCAAGCAAATCAAAATTTCCTGCTTCAAGATTTCTGCACCCGATCTATATATGCAACCGTTGTCCATGTGGTTTTCCTCTTACTATATTTTGTTTTTCTAAAATAAACGACTTACTTTTTCGTTCAAATGATAAGACTAACAAACATTTGTACATTTAAAAGGTACCTTCTTGCTTGAATATATCATCTTCCATTTTCACTTGATGTTGTTCTTCATTAGCATCCTTTACAACTTCAGTTGTTTTGCGATGTCTTCCTCTTCTTCTTGGCATGGAGATATATAACTTAACTGAAAACATTTTTCTCTCATCAAGTTAATAATTACTTTTACTAGTCAACGTGCATACACTTATGTTGTATGAGTAATTATAAATAAAAAAAATTAACCCAACTCTAGAGTTGTTACCTTATCTTTCTTTGTTCTTGGTAGTAGATTAAACATAAAGTACTTCCATCAGTTCTCTTGGCACAATCGCTACCGAAGATTATTTGGTTCATACTGATTAAGTGGGTGGAATTTCTATGGAGTCACAAGAGGAGATTATACACTCTTATTTATAATGTTGGAGTCAAGGCCATCTTGCTCGACTACAGTATTGTACGTCTCTTTTCTTAATGGGAATAAAGATGAAATAAACATCCTTAACTGCTTAAAAAAGAAGATGATACAGTTAAGCTATTTGTAGCAATAAAAATAAATATCCTTGTGGTTTGATAGAATTAGTCAGTTTAATTGTGATTTCTTTTCTTTTGCCTTGTTAAGTGAAGTTTATATATTTACATGCCCAATTACTTTCTTTATTGTCTCTATTCTATGGACATTGTACCGATTTGCCATTATTATTCATCCATTTTGAAAGCCATAGAAGATGGATATTTATTATACTGGGAGTTGTCTCTCAATGAACTTAAATTCATTTTACAGATCTTTCTAAGTTCCTCAACTGACTGAGTTCGATTTTGTAAGATGTCTTGTAAGCTTATAAACAAGAATCAGTTTGAATTGTTCCAAATTTCTTATAACACTGGACTCTTTTCACCTGAACTATTGACTCACTTGACAACAGTTATCTGTAAATAAAATATTATATACCAACCAAGAGTATGAGTTTCAGAGCTAGTGCCTTTTTCATTTGTATGAAGAAACAACACAAATTTGTACTTGGTAAATTCCATTCTCTAAACAGAAAAAAATCTAACTATGCTAAACATATTGCTACAAACTACTCTAAACATGAATTTATGAACAGGCATAATGAAAATCATAGAAACAAAGAAATATTACCTGGTTGTGGGCAGCAAACCGGATGACGAGTTCAATGGAGACGATTCCACCACCTCTCTAAACTCGAACAGCCACAAAATTTTGAACTATGGAACAAAGAATTCCCAAAACCTTTAGGGCACTCTTTAGTCTCCAAAAATTGAACAGTGAAGAGAAGGGCCTACTTATAGGAGTTGAGAAATGTGAAAATCACAGCCTAGAGTCGATGCGGGACTGTGAGTAATTTGAAAATAAGACTAATTCCGACGGAAAATTGATTTGGAAGGCTTAATCTCTTGAGAAGGACGATTGAGCTATCAAGATCGCAACACCTGTCTCGTTTGTACGATTGGCTTAGAAAAAGGACAAGGGAGGACGACGCTGCCACGATCTGAGCTCGATTTTGGACCGAGTTTGCGATTTGTGGGACTGGCGAGCAAGAAAACGCTGAAGGGGGTCGATTGGTATGTGCTGTGCTGTCTATTGTATTGAAAATGGGTTTTTTCTTTTGAGAAGAAAACGGGTCATTTAGGAGTTGGACGGAGAGGCCCAAGATTTGGCTTCTTAAAATAAGTGGGCTAGAATTGACTTTCGTTTTGATCATATGAATTTAAATTAGAACCAATTGAAGTTCTGAACATAGCAAAATTGAATTAATGAGTGAAATTAGCTAAAAGTTAAGTAAGATAAACTATTATAATTAATTTACGAGCTTAACAAAATAAAAATAGCTAACTTAATTATAAATTAAACAATTCAGAATTTATAACAATAATTTAAACTAAACTAATTTAATAAAATATTTACTAAAAATAAAAAATCCTTTTGAGATAGATTTTCGAAATATTAATAAAAATATAATAATTACATAAAAAAAATTATATAAGATTATAAAAATGGTGAAAAAAATCAATTAAAATATTTTGAAATTTAAGAAACTCGAAAGTCAATTTTTGGGTGTCAACAAGCTATCTCCACAAACATTTGCAAAATCTGCAACACCTCCATTGAAAACCTCCAAGCATATTTTGTGGAGTGCATTATTGCCCAAAATTTTTGGAACCAACTGAACATTGCCAATCTTTCTCCCAACTCTCAACACAATGATGACTGGCTTCTTCTGGCCACTATAAACTTAATAGCTCATACGGGCCCCATAATATTCAAGCTTTTATCCGATTTTGAATTGTAAAATGAACAATAGTTTTCAAATTCAAAGCAAAAATAAAATGTACATCTAGCAAAAATGCAAACGAGTAAAATCTAAAAGACTGTAATCTGGTCAAGGTACAATATCACCAATATGACACATTCAAAAATAATTACGGAACAGATGGGGAGCAGCATTCGAGGCCATTGTAAATACATAGCACAAACTATTCGGAGCCAGTGGGGTCAACCAGACAAGCTAAGGCATATACCACCATCTATTCAGTCCCCTCCGGACAGACACTCTCCCTTAAATTTTCCCATTAATAAGGGGGTGGCCGGATGAAATGCAGAAATAATATCAGAAGAAGAAAAGGCCGAGCATTCCTCATAAGAAATAAGGAACTCCTGTCCTGGGCCCTCTCATCTGGTTGTTTTCCTCAGTTTCAGAGAAGAACTTTACCTCTCTCTCCTGATAAATCACAAAAAAAAATCAGAAAGGAAAAAAACAGATAAAATGTCTAGATTATAAAATAACAAATAAAGGGGGATACGACAAGCAGAGCAGTAACAGTACATTCCAAAATGTAGGAGACTTCGACCATAGGACAAGTCGACACAGCAATTGCCTAATATGCTTCATTTCTTATCCATTTCTCCTATCACCTAGCTTGCTGTTCCAATACCACAAGCAGTTCCCATTCTTTCATCTTAGAAACTTCATTTCCATACTAGTGCAACAAACATGCTTCAGGCATCAAAATTGGGCATAAACTCTTGTATGTGGGTTCAAGTCCTATAATTTTCATCTCATCTAATACTTGAAGAACATAGTTGATTGATTTTATCTGCTCTTCTATTTCTTATTTTTTTTCGCTCTACTCTTCATTTTGTTATCACAAAAGGATGAGAACATTTCAAGGTATCCAGATAGACAGAGATCAACCAATTTTAGCCACCATCCATAACTAATATAGATGCTCCTGCTATCTAACCCGCCAATTTATTATGTGGTCTTTCTTGAGTGCAAAAAGTTGATCTTTTGGTATTCCTATTATGTGGTCTTTTTTGAGTGCAAAAAGTCGATCTTTCGGTTTTCCTCCTGCTGACTTCACACAGAGGTGACAAGATTAGCCCAATTTTCTCAATAAAGAACTCTATTGCACAATCTTGAAGGAGCTTAGATCCACCAAATGTAGTTAGTCCCCAATAGATTAGACATGCCTATTCATGATAAGGTCTTAGCTTAGTTATTCTACTAAGCTTTCCCAACAAATAAATGAGATGCGGAAGACAGAAGACTAATGTGAAACTTTGTAAAAGTCCGTACTTCTAAGGGGTAAACATTATAGCACTGAACTTTCCTTCTATGAAACTAAATACCATCTTATGCCAAGTGATCTTTTTTAAATGACCGTGGTGTCCGGGCCAGCTTTTGCAAAGCTCGATTAATTCCACATGATACCTGCCACCTCCCACCAGCAACACCAACATGTACCAGGAAACTCTGTCCACTAAGGCTAAAATAGATGGGAAAAATCACCCAGTGCTTTGTATCTCCATTATGACTAGTGATCTTATTTCAAAAGAGTCAATGGGAGTGAACATATTCATAGCAGTAGATGAAGGGGAAGAAATCCTAGCTCTTCAAGCTAAAGATGTTGACATTGTCACTGCTCTACCTTGAACATGGAGAATGTAAAAGAATATGTTTATGCAGTGAGAGGCAAGATCTATATATGTACCATAAGATTGAATCCTTTAGTACAAAGATTATGATGGCATTACTCACAAAGAATGACAAGAAAAAGGTAGAAGTGTGAATTAGGAATGGACCACCAATGCAAGTAGAAGATAGACGAGAAGAAAAGGTGAAGCATTTTTAAATCCTACGGTCAATCAACTGAGCAGAACTGAAGAACATTTTCACCAGGAGGTCCAGTAAAAACAACTAACCATCATCATTTTTTTCTGATGAATTAGTTAACAATTACTATGTCACATCACCTTCTCCAGCATTTCATATGGGAAAATGTTAATTTCTACAGTGTTTTTTATATGTAATGTCGAACTCTAAAGTACTAAAATCCAAAAAGTGGAAAGAGGATCAACTCATGGCTTAGCTTGCCTTTGGGACATTCTAATTACTCCTTTCTCAATTCGTGTCCTATGATCCTTTTTAGTCAGTTTCAACAAAAATGCCTTTCTATACGTGGTGCATTTTTAATTCCAAAATTCACATTTACCCTGACACTCTGAATTGCATGACATGTTTAAGGCCAAAAGATTCAACAAATATTTTTGGTATGTTATGCACAATTTTTTTGGATTAAAACCATGAAAGTTAAGACTTATTTACATTTTCCACTGCCAAATCAAACTAAAAATGAGACAGCAGTGTTGTCAAAGGCACATTAAAGCCCTGAAGCGAATCCCAAAATGTGTTTAGCGCTTCGCCTCACTTAATGTGTGTTTCAGTGTCGTTGTCAAGAAGGTTCTAAGGCAAATTTTTTCTTGACATAGAACCTCTTATGAAGAGGCAACACTTAACATTTGATATTTCACATTAATTACCTTTCAATTTCTTTGTCCATATATTTGTCATTCATGCTTGTATACTAGTTTTGGACTAAACATATATGTGTATATTTTTCTCTCTAAGCAACTTTTTTCATTAAAGCCAACGCGTAATTTGTGCTTAAAGCCCCAATTCCTTAGAGCCTTTTTGCTTTTGATAACAGTGAAAGGGAGTAGTAGGTTTCTCCTAATATCAGGATGAGACATTATGTCCAAGACACAAAAATCCTCCTATCCTCACAATATAATTGCAGACTTACTGTATGCATATATAACAACACATGTTGACTTGAATAGGTCAAATCATATGAGACAAACAAAATTAGAGGATACAACTGTCAACGCACAAGGGCACGACTAAGTACTCCTGAAATTCCAACGGCTAACTAGTAGAAGGTCAATAATGCAGGAAAATAATAGCAATACTACCATATTCTCATTGAAGTTCAATATTGAAGCAACATTTCCACATCGGTAACAATAGTTGGGAGCAGACCACACCTGCATAGAACAGAAGGCAACAGTGACATGATTTCATTATATGCTACACATCAGATGACAAACACAATAAAGAATAGATTACTTACCGTCACCAATCCTTTATCTTGAAACATGTATTTCAAACCTTCCTGGACAAGCTGGTGAGCCCGGCAAACTAGATCTAGTTTATTAATGTGATTAAACTGCAAATCATGCGCAAAATATTTATTTGAAACAATGATCACAACTATAATTAACATCTTGAGCTTACATACCTCAGAGGTAACCCTGGATCCAAAAAGCCAACCTGCTCCTCGAGGACTTACTGCCCATGTTTCAATATCTTCGGGGTCACTCCACATAAGGTCACAGAAAGGCCCTTCATGCGGAATTTCACAATTACGGTCAATCACTCTGATCTGCCATATCATTTACAAAGAAGGAAGAAACATTAGCTCTGCATGTGCCCACATTTTGAACAGAAGAAAGATTATGCAAAATGGAGAAAACATCAACTTAGCGAAAAAATTTATTAAAAGCATTGACATAGGCACAATCATTTCCAGAGAATCCTCAAGTAATCACATAGAAGAGGAAAAGGACCTCATATGATCTCCAGATACACAACATGTTGTGAGATATTAAATCAATATCATTTTTTGATTGATCTAAGTTCATGCAATTTATAAATTGAAGTAATGTTCCGGTCAGTCACTGACTAAATCAATTGAAAGGGAAACCTTTCGCCCTTTCTTTATATAATTTTATTTGATTACACATAACATAAACAACTTGCAAATTTTCACTTCTTCATGTGTTTAGAGCATTGATATCTTTCTAGTACAGTGAAAACATATAGAATCCATGACACTGAATAATTTGAAACTAGTTATGAATAAAACAAGTAGAACCACAAAAACATCAAAGTCCAAGTCAAAATACCTGATCAATTGTTCTAACATCAGGAGAAAGTCCACCATGGACACATAATACCTGTATGGGAAGAAAGGTGTTAATTAATAGGATTAGAAAACATGGCAAGTGATAATGTTTATCCTGAGTGCTAGAACATACTGTTCCGTCTATGATTGCCGAGAGAGTAAGATAGTCAAAAACATCAGTGCAGTACCGCCATGCATTCGCATTTCCATACTTCCTTTGACACTCATCATAGAATCCATAGACCTATTGTAACATGTAAAATGTAAAGCTGATCAGAACATAGCACATCTCGAAAATGCTTCCTTCTTATAGCATGTGTGTATCTTCACTAAGAGGAAAAAAGATTCTGT